TTCATATTCAAATTTTCACTTCATGCATATAACACCTTAGAATTTGGTAAGTTTGACTTGTAAAATGTAAGATGAATTTACGGAAAGGTTCACAGACCATGAAGAGGTTCACGACTTGTTAGCCCAACCGTGAACCAAACACCTCTAACGCTCAGGAAAGCTTGACCCTTCACGGACACCTGAACGGTCCGTGGAAGGTAGGGCCGTGGTGATCGATTACAAAAAATCCCAATTTCCCCCATGTTCATGATCATCCTCACGGACCGTGAAAGGGTCCGTCAACTTTTAAGTCAGGATTATTGTAGTCTTTTCTTATACTCCTAATAACTAAGATATGTCGTTTTGACCACTATTCTAAGTCCTATATAAGTACTTTAAGTCCTAAAACTATCCATTCTAAAATCATTCTCCTAAATCTCAAATTCCTTCCAAGTTCTTCCCCCAAATTTCTCTCTCAAGCAAAGGAAGAAAAAGCTAGGGTTTTACTTCAAGGTTTCCAATTTACCATAGCTTTTGGACCTTGATCACTAAGGTATGTTAGTATTCACCTATGAAGCCCTTTTCTCCGCTGGGTCCCCAAAGATTACAATTCTACTAGTTCAATTCTCAATTCAAAGCTAGGGTTGTTTTCAATTTCCATGAGTTCTTCTCAATTATGATTAAATTAGTTGTTTTCTATCTTCTAATGCATGAATTGAAGTATTTACATGATTTTGAGTTGAATTCATATGAACTATTTGACTATGGACACAAGATGAACCTTATGAACTATGATCTATGAATTTTTACACATATGTCTATTTTTATGAAATTGATGTAAATGACTCAAGGATGATTTTAGATGAAAGTATAAATGAGATTGTGAAAGGTTTGCTCAAAATCAAGATTTAAAGACTTATTTTAAAGGACTTTAGCTTGGATTGGTAGTTTAATTGTGTCTTTCCATGGATGATGAAATAAATATGATTAATGACTATTCTATGGGATTTTACTTAACACCGAGTGGATATTGAGATGGAGGCTCTCTCGTTAGTTGAGATTGGGTCTCTAGTAGCAATCTTTTTGTCCCTAACTATGTGCCCCGTAGGATGTCTTAACTAGTGAATCCACATAAGGTAGAAGTTTATGGTCCTTACCTTGGCAAGTAGGACATCTCTTTTTAGTGTGGGATAGATATCGAATTCCCTGTTTTAGCTCACATGATCTATGTCGGTTAATGTAAACATCCCACAATAATGAACTAGGTTACTTTCAAAGTATCTCACAAAGTGTTTTAATATGATAAGTTTGCATTGACCATGATTATGACTTGTGTTTTCAAAACATCTTATCTTATGCTTTAGCTTGGTCATTGCATGCCATGATAAGTCCTTTTAGCATGATTTCATGTCGTTTATGTAGTGTTGTCATACTTAGTACATTTGATGTACTAATGCATACTTGTGCCTACATTGTTTCACTAATGTAGAGTTCAACGCTCCTACCTCACATACTTGTGGCTAGTTGATCTCCCTTGTTGATTTGAAGATTGGTGAGTCCTCATGTTCCAAAGATCAAGACACTTTTATAAATTTCCTTTATTTCAGTATTCAGACATTATACGTGGTACATGAGTTATGTCCCAACCACTTCTTCTAATGAATTAGATGCTTGTTAAGACTATGTTAGACTTCCACTTTGTCAAGCTTTTTTATTTGAGAATGCTTATTTTGAAATCTTTGTTTCAATTATCTTGTATGATGTATGCCAAGTGGCTTTTGTAGAGCATTTCAGAATTCTATACGTCATGTTACACCTAGAGTATACTTTAGGTCGTGACACTACATTTAACAAGAAAATTGATAAGTGGGAGCAACTAATTAAAGATTGCATTCTCAAGAATGAAATTGATGAATTTTATTTTGGCAGAAATTGATACAATGGTGATTTTCAAACACTAATCAATGTGAGGTTTATCCTTGTACGTCAACCAACACTCTTGTTGACTTCAATTTTCCCAACAATGTGCCAACTTTAGGCAATTTGGCTTTAACTCGAATTTAGGTAGAAATAATTGAGACTAAGGTATTAAGCATTCTTAGGTAACACAATATGAAAGACAACAATACAGAAATAAGAACAACACAAGGCACTATTTACTGGAAACCCAATTCCCAATTTGTATTAATTAAAGTGAATATAAGAACGCTCAGATTTGTACCACCCTTGGTACTAAGATCACCTAGACTTTACTTATATTCTACCATAAAAAAATATTTCTTAATGATTTGCATAATGCATGAATAAAACACTTACTTTTTAGAAAAAGAAGTTAGTTAACATACCATTAAGTGAGACGTTAATTTATTCTTACATAGCATATACAAAGGACACGTTAAAGAAAGAAAATTACACGTTTTTACCCTTTTTAATTTGGTCCATTTGATTGTTTTATTCAGAAAAGACTATCTAATTAGACATGCATCCATACTATATCTGCTAACTCAACTCATACTTTTAAATTATTATCTATAATCTCGTAATTTAATAATTTTGTATGAAATTTGGAGTGAGATACATCACTTCTTAAAATTAGCCTAAAATAGACAGTTTATGTTGTTATACATCTAACTACTTAATCACCCCCTAAATCGCACTCGAAAAAAATCAAAAGAATTTTGAATTTTTTTATATTAGTGATACAACAGACCCTCTAAAGTCGTTATGTGCATGATTTGCTCCTAAGTTACTGTGTTCCAATTACATTCCTTAGTTAGACACACATAATTAGATGTATCTGCTTAGCATGTTGCGAGATACATATATTTGGACGGGCCAAATACATGTATCTAGGATAGTATTTTTTTTTTAAGTTTTCGGAGCGAGTCGTGAGGTAGAGCGTATAGAAAAGGCTCCAAAGTGCAAATTGAAGGTGTAGAATCTATAGGGCATAAGTCCTAAAATTTGGGGTGTAAGCCGCGAGCATAAAAATGTACGCCCCGTGTATTTTTTTGGTTTTTAAATCATTTTTATTTTAAATCATAATTTTTATTATTGGTGTAATGATATTTTTATTTTTGGCTATTATATTTTTTCACGTTGTAGTGATTTTTTCTAAAAAGGATAAACAAACTCTCATAGAATATGCATTGCTATAAATAATTTTTTAGATAATTGTGTCTAAAATAGACAAGATAGAGCTTTCATAGCACTATATTTCTTAGACAACTTTATTCATTTTTTGTCATTACTCTTACACTTTTTATCCTCCTTCTTCTCAAAACATATAAACAATAATCAGTGCAAATATTACTTGAAGGTGGGAAGGACTAATAAATGTGAAGATGAATGATGATTTCATTTTGGCTATTGATGGGTAATTAAATGAGATGACTTTAGTCAAGTTTTGAATGTGAACTTTGCAATTAATTGTCTATGTTTCATATGTGTAGGTATGCAAATTCAAGTGTTGAACATGATAAGTGAGAAAGGCCAACAAGAATGCTACAGAAATAAAAGAAACAAAAATGTGCATCTGCTAAGATATTACCCGCCCGTGCAGTGGTCGCGCGCTCAAGTGTCCAGCGGCGCACCCGCACAGAAACATTAAAAAAGTTAATGCCTCTCCACACGTTGATCACGCGCTTGGGATTCCGGTGGTGCGTCTGCGCGGCGTAGAGGCGTGAAATCATTAAAGGAAGAGTGTTTTTGGAATTTTGAAGGGAACCGTATGCTATATGATGTTGGAGCTTGCCCCATGGCAAAAGGATCAAGAAAAAAAGCAAAAAGAACGCTAGGTTACAAAGAAGAGGAGGTGGAACACCCAGTACACTACTCGAATCCAAAACGGAAGTTGGAATTCAAAGTTTGATTTCTATGTCTTCTTTTTCATCTTTGTTCTTAGTAAACTTATTCTCCTCCATTGAGTAGATTCTTAGAGGGTATTTGACAAACATGTTGTATTGATGAATTTGTTGGGATTTTGATTTTTCATTCTTATGCTTGAACTTGTTATGGAAGTTTGAATTGAATTGCAACTCTATTCATTATTTTATTTAATTGAAAGAAGAATATCTTGGTGAATATTGTTGCATAGTTTTGTTTGATTGAATCAATATATTTTCTCTAAAGTAATCAAAGGAGCTTTTTGATAATTATTGATTAAATCTCAAGGAAAAATAGTCGAAGGACGTTATTTCCTTAAGAACAATCATTAACATGTTTTTGCATATTAGAATCACTGGGGTATAATTGGTTTATTCTTTAACTTGAGATTTACTTGGAGGAAAAATCCAAGACTTAAGGATACTCTAATAAGCTATCGAATTCGAGAGTATCGATAGAACTTTAGATGTGATAAATGAATGTGATCAAATCCCAACTATCATTATGCACTTGTTTCGTCTTGTACCCTATCTTTTATTATTGATATTAATCTTCATAGTTACAAATTATTTTTAATTATCATTTAGTCTATAAAAGTCGTTCATAACCACAACCAACTCCTTTCTTTTGATCACCTGAACAATAGTTAGCAAGATTTGATTGAATTATTATTTGTACCAATTCTCGTGGAGACAATCTTTATACTATACTATTTTTGACTAAACGCTTAACTTATAGTGTGTTTGTGCTCGTCAAATTTTGATGTCGTTACCGGAAATTGGCAACAAGTAGTTTTCAATTGAGTTTTGTGTATTAATTCTATTTTTTTTTTGTTTCCAGTATTGCAGGCAACATGAATTAACCAGAACTTTGGTGTATGACACGATCTTCCTCAAAAGAAGTTATCGAATACAATCCAGAGTTGGAAAAAAAACTTTACGCTTGCTTAAGAAGGAACTTGCCGAAAGGGTTTCAGGGCAGTCTCAAAGGCTTAATACAATGAGTGATATAAATGTCGGTAACAGGGGTTTGAATGATCTACTCAATCTTGATAATCTAAATCGAGCACCTGGATTGAGGATGATGCTAAACATCCTAGGGTTGTTAACCGAAGAATCCACCACCTTCCTGCTGAAATGGAAGACCAAATGGATCAAAATAATGGAAGGGCGGGGAGATTGCTAGGAGACTATGCTAAGCCAATTTACAATGGGATGCAGTCCAGTGTAAGATGTCCTCCTGTTGCAGCAAATAACTTTGAGATCAAGCACAATGTTTTCCAAGCAATACAAAATAACTGTGTTTTTAGAGGAAAGCAGAATAAGGATCCAACCCGTCATCTGATGGATTTCGATGAAATCATGAACACTTTTCACTACAATGGAGCATCGCACGATGCTATATACTTAAGGGAATTTCCTTTCTCCTTGAAGGATGATGCTAAGATCTTGGTACGAAGTTTACCTTCTGGATCAATCTGCACTTGGGATGAAATGACGATAAAGTTTCTTATAAGTATTTCTCACAAGCAAAACAACTAAAATAAGGAAGGAGATCAACAATTTCAGCCAACTAGAATCAGAAACAGTGTTTGAAGCATGAGAAAGACTTAAGGAATTGTTGAGGAAGAGTCCACATAATGGAATAGAACCATGGTTGCAGTTGACAAATTTCTGAGAAGGATTATCACCTGCATCACGAAGAATATTAAATAATGCAGTGGGAGGACCAATCATGAAAAAGACACCCAAAGAAGCAATTGAAATCCTAAATGAACTTTCTGATGATGCTAATCAGTGGGTGTTAGAGAATTCTGAAAGGAAGAAGACTGCAGGGGTCCAAGTTGATACTTACAATACCTTGCAGGCGCATATTGTAGCGATTGTAAAGGATGTGAAACAGTTGACTCTAGCCCAAGCTCAAATGCCACAATCAATAATGTGTGATTTTTGTGCAGGGAGCCATCCTACTCATGAATGTCAACATGGGTCATTTATAGAAAAAGTTAATGTTGTCAGAAACTTTAACAAAGGGAACTATCAAAAAGAAAATAATTTTAATACAATGGGGCAAAGGCATCCTGGATTCTCATGGAGCTCACCAAATGGTAGTTTGAATTTGTGGCAGTAGAACAATGTGAGAGGACAAGGACAAACACTCAGGGGTACCAGAATCACCAGCGACAACAATATCAACCTCATCAGGGACAACAATGGAACCAACCCATTTTGGAAGAGATGTTTAAAATTTTTATCACTAAGGTTGATGAGTGGTTTGAAATTCAAGGTGCTTCTATTCAAAATTTAGAAAATCAGGTTGGACAGATTGCTAACCAGAAAGACCTCCTGGAAATCTTCCAAGTGACACAATAAGGAACCCTAATGAGCTGAAAGTTGTGACTTTGCAAAGTGGAAAAAAGTTAAACGATAATTGTAAAAGCAAATCTTGTGAAGTAACAAAGAGCCAAGATGAGAAACAAGGAAGTAAAAATGTAGTTGGGAAGTCCAACGAAATTCAGAAAGGAAAGGAGAAGTTAGAACTAGAAGTTGATTATAAATACACTCCTGCATTTCCTTTTTCTTAAAAGATGAAACGAGAGAAGCTTGACAAGTATTTTGGTAAGTTCTTAGAGTTGTTGACGCAACTAACTGGGTAATCACTTAGTTGCTTTCATATGCTAAATTTTTGAAGGAAATTTTATCCAACAAGAGAAAATTGGAGGAAACATCAGTAGTCAAGTTGAATGTTTATTGTAGTGCCATCCTTCAAAATAAACTACCTTAGAAATGTGGTGATCCGGGTAGTTTCACTATTCCATGTGCGATAGGGACTGCTAAATTTGAGAAATCGTTGTGTGACTCAGGAGCTTCTATAAACCTCTTGCCTTTGTCTATATTCAAATAGTTGGAAGGAGAGCTCAGAATCATGAAATCCATCCCAATGTCCTTACAGTGGGTAGACCAATTCACCATTATTCCTGAAGGGATAGTTGAAGATGTTCTAGTTATGGTGGATAAGTTTGTGTTTCCAGTAGAATTTATCGTGGTGGACATGGAAGAAAATAAAAAGGTTCCATTAATTCTTGACCGACCACTCTTAGATACCGGCAGAGCAATACTCGATTTGTATGAAGGGAAACTTATGCTTAGATTTGGAGAGGAAAAAGTAGTATTCAATATGAAGAAGGTGGATGAGCTAATAGTTAAGACAACTATGTCGGATAGAAAGATAACGACATAGGTGCGTGCGTTTGGCCAAGCCTGCACAATGGACCCAGACACTGTTTCTGACACCGACTAAAGAGAGTCAAGGAAGTTTCCTTTACTTTTGTAGTTTCTTTATGCCATGAGGACATGCCATAGCTTAAGTGTGGGGGTGAAAGAGTTGTAAATAACTAAAAAAATCTTTCTAGGGTAACTTCTTTGTTGTACTTCTATGAGTTTCTTGTCTGATTCTTTTACCATAGTCGTATTTATTTTGAATCAGATATTTTTTTAGGATAAGAATTGTAGCATAATTGTTGAACAAGTGCTAGAGATATAAATTGATTGATTCCTATCTAGAGGTTGTATTGATTGCTCAATTGAAATTTGCTTACTTGTTGGCATGTGAAGTTGACGCATTATCAATCTTTGAATATTGTGAGCTGAGAAGATCTTGATATGTAATCATGTTTGAAAGAATCTAGAACTTGGCATGGTAGTTTTTTTAGGCGAAATTCTAGGACTTTTTAAGGAAGAGTGTGATTATAGGCTTTCTTTGATTAACCCACTTCTAGCCTAAATTCACAGACCATTGATGATAAGTATCCCTAGTTAACCAATTTGAGCCTTATAATAATCCATTTTCTTTGATTAGCTGATACATCCCTTTAGTCTAATACCCCTGTGTTACTCTCTTAATTGGAATTATAAGTGGAAGTGTGGAGAATTGAATTATGAAAAAAAAAAAAACTGAACCTAGTCATGTGTGAAAAGTAATGAAAGTTGTTGAATGTGTTTTCAAAAGAAGATGAAAGGTGTCAAAAGAAAAAGGAAGAAAAAAAGAGTGAAAAAAGAAGGGGTATATGACTTTTTATTTTCATATTTTACAAACATCCTTATCACAAATTACACTTGTGCAATTCCTACATGATTTTAACTTGAGAAGGCATACACTAGTGGAGAATTACTCAATTGCCAATTCTATGATATTCTGGAAAAATATGATGTATTTCTTTGTGAGAGTGAGTGAAATGAGAGATTGTGTCTGTGATGTATGAACAAAACGTTGTTAATGATAAAATCGCATCTTTTTTGTTGTGAAAAAATTCATGGATTGATTTTCGCTTAAATTTCATTGTCGATGAGTAGTCATTTAACGATGAATATTGCATGCACCTATAGGGATGGTTGAAGTCAATTACTTTTCTAGTAATTTGTGTGTCAAAATCTAGAGGGGGTCAAGTTATTCTAATTTGCTCGGGACGAGCAAAAGCTCAAGTGTGGGGGTATTTGATGGGTAATTAAATGAGATGAATTTAGACAAGTTTTGAATGTGAACTTTGCAATTAATTGTCTATGTTTCATATGTGTAGGTGTGCAAATTCAAGTGTTGAACATGATTAGTGAGAAAGGCCAACAAGAATGCTAAAGAAAGAAAAAGAACAAAAATGTGCATCTACTAAGTTATTGTCCGCCCGCGTGGTGGTCGCGCGCTCAAGTGTCCAACGGTGCACCCATGCAGAAACATTAAAGAAGTTGCTACCTCTCCGCGCGCCGGTCACGCGCTTGGGCTTCCAGTGGCGTGCCTGCGCGACGAAGAGGCGTAAAATCATTAAAGGAAGGGTGTTTTGGAATTTCAAAGGAAATCCCATGCTAAATGATGTTAGAGCTTGCCCCCAAGGCAAAAGGATCGAGAAAAAAAAGCAAAAAGAAATGCTAGGTTACAAAGAAGAGGAGGTGGAACACGTGGTACACTACTCGAATTCAAAACGGAAGCTGGGATTCAAAGTTTGGTTGCTATGTCTTCTTTTTCATCTTTGTTCTTAGTAAACTTATTCTCCTCCATGAGTAGATTCTTAAAGGCTATTTGACAAACATGTTGTATTGATGAATTTTTTGGGATTTTGATTTTTCATTCTTATGCTTGAACTTGTTATGGATGTTTGAATTGAATTGCGACCCTATTCATTATTTTATTTAATTGAAAGAAGAATATCTTGGTGAATATTGTTGCATAGTTTTGTTTGATTGAATCAATATATTTTCTCTAAAGTAATCGAAGGAGCTTTTTGATAATTATTGATTAAATCTCAAGGAAAAATAATCAAAGGCCGCTACTTCCTTAAGAACAATCATTAACATATTTTTGCATATTAGAATCACTGGGGTATAATTGGTTTATTCTTTAACTTGAGATTTACTCGGAAGAAAAATCCAAGACTTAAGGATACTCTAATAAGCTACCGAATTCGAGAGAATCGATAAAACTTTAAATGTGATAAATGAATGTGGTCAAATCCCAACTATCATTATGCACTTGTTTCGTCTTGTATCCTATCTTTTATTATTGATATTAAACTTCATAGTTACAAATTATTTTTAATTATCATTTAGTCTATAAAAGTTGTTCATAACCACAACCAACTCCTTTCTTTTGATCACCTGAATAATAGTTAGCAAGATTTGATTGAATTATTATTTGTACCAATCCCTGTGGAGACGATCTTTATACTATACTATTTTTTACTAGCGAAGTGCTAAACTGATAGTGTATTTGTGCTCGTCAGCTATTATTATGTTTTGTGTTGTTAGTTCTTACCTTTCTCAAATAGTAATTATAATATAATATTTTCCCTATAATATTGGTTATTAATATTTTTTAAAATAATAATTACAATATTTTTCTCTCTATTATTGGTTATTCATTAAAATTTATTAGTAAAATTATTGAAAGTTTTACTTTTGCTTATATTCTTCCTAATAAAATTATAAAATTGAATATATGAGATGTACTCCTCGTAGATCCATGGAACTTACATGTCGCGTCTCAAGACTTACACCTCATTAGAATTTCATACCAAATATGACTTCCTCCATACCAACAACACATTTCTTTCTGGGTTCATTATATCAATGAGTGTAATTAAAAAATCAATTGTTTCTTCATTCATTATACAAAAGGTATATGATACAACAAATTGTGTCCTCTCCCCCCCCCCCCCCCCCCCCGTTCTCAATCAATCAGATTGAATTACTTTTAGATGAGTTTTGTTTTCAATTGTATTTGAATTGAACAAGTGAAGAAGAAGAGATATCAATAACGTATAATTGACTATCTTCGTCCGTATTTGTATAAACTAATAAGTATCAATTTGATTTGTATTTTTTTAACAATTATTATCGATTGATTATAAATACATTGATAATTGGAGGTTTGATCGAATTATTGTTTTCAATTGTATTTGAATTCAACGAGTATTGAAGAAGTGATGTCAATAATTGTATAATTAGGCTTTTTCGTCTGTATTTACATAAACCGATTAGTATCAATGATTTGTATTTATTTTTGTATAAACTACTTCCAATTGATTATGAATCCATTGATAATTGTATTTCTTTTGTCGAATAAATGTTTTCAAAATATATAAATATACAATTAGAATAATGATATACAATTACAAATTTATACAAATATGAGTGCAACTCTAGATCTAAAATTGAATATGTATTTTTTGGAGTAATATGAATTCCAAAAATTATACAAATATGATAAAACTCAAAAATTCGTTGGAATTTATACAAACACAAACATCTAAACTTTAAAAAGTTATATAAATTATATTATATAAATTACATTATACAAAAAATAAACAAATTATATCTAACGATAAGATTGAAAATCCACTAGAAATCGCAATCATATACAAATACAAATCAAAAGGAATAGGAATACAACTGTCAAAACAAAAACAAAAAAACAAAGTAATTGAAACAACATAAAATTTGCCCTAAAAATCTAGAAGCAGGAATTGAGAGGGAAAAATTATGAATTTTCTAATTTTGAAATCAATTTATGTTGAGTAATTTATATAGAAAATAATGGAAAAGGATTATGGAGAGAAAGAGAAAGTAGTGTTTGTATATAGA